TACACTAGCAAACATTTTAAGTACTATTTTCTGACTAGCTATTTTTCAAACGCCTATATCACAGGCTGTAACAAAAATAACTCCTAAAGGGAGTGTGACTCAAAAAAAACAACTTGAACTACTTAAATCAAGACAAAAAATCTAAAATCTCTTGTGAAAACCGCAGTCGTACATTCAAAATACATAGATCTCCTTATGAAGACAAATTTTGTGGGAACTTGTGACGTCACACACACCGGCTAACCGCCGAAATCGCACCCTTATGTTTGTTCAGTCGTCAGTGAACCGTGTTCTAATACTTTGAGTGGTTGCAATTCGCTCTAAGTGGGATTGTTGACTTTTATTTTGGAAAATTTTACACATATTTTCACTGTGCCACCGAAGCCGGTGTCACGTTAGGCGTTCGTCACTTTAAATCGCCCTAACTCGAAAACGGTTGATCGCAGCAAGATGCGGTTTAAATATTTGTTCTAAGTGGGATTGTTGACTTTCATTTTTGGGTCACATCCCCTCTAGTAATACATAGGAAATTATTTTAATAAAAACAACATAGGAATACATAATAAAAATAATTAGGAATACTTGGGAATAGGATGGAAATAACTAGGAATACATGGGAATACTTTGTAACAATTGGGAAATACTTAGAACTACCTGGAAAATACTAGGAATAATTTGGAAATATCCAGGAATACTAAAGAATACTGGGAATACTTGAAAATTCACCAAAGTATTTCCAAATATGGGAATCCCTGGACGTTTTCCCTTTGGCTGGTTGACCCCTCGGTTCAAGCACGTCCAGAAGCTGTTTCAGCAATTTTGGAAACAGTTTTCAACACAATATATTTCCCAACTTCATGTCCAGTATAAGTAAAGGGAAAGAAGCACCTACCATAATCAAAGAAGGTAATTTGGTCCTCATCAAAAATGATGCCAAACCTCCATTCAAGTGGCCCTTGGGCCCAATTAGGTATCAGTCTACATGCATGAAAAGATGGAATCAAGAGGGTCGCTGAGATTCAAACTGCAATTTGTATAGAACTACCTGATCTGTACGCTATCTTTGCCCACTAAGTACCGCTTCAAGAAGAACTCAACAATAATTCACCATATTAGTTGGGTTAGAATCGCAAATTGGCGCGGGTTCCTAGTTCAAAAATTATAATGTCTTATGGGGACTTAATTTTAAAAGCGTCTGTAGACGTGATAGAACGTTTGTTAGGGAAGTGAGTTGTATAAATTGTTTTTTTAATATGTTAATTTACTGAGAGAGTGTTTGAAAGTTGAATAAACATTGTTAAAATAAAAATATTACCAATTTAAAAAGTGTACCTACATACTTGGTTAGTGTTAGTAGATGTACAATCGTCACCAAAAGTAACTGGGACAAAAATAATTCATATTAATCTCCTGGACTATTCCAAGTTAACCTAGATACACCTTAAATTATTCATAGTTCGACAAATACCTGACATCTAAAATCATATAATAGTACAAGAGCTAATATGATGCTGTCCCAGTTACTTTTGGTGACGATGGTACTTCAATAATCCAAAAAAATGGAAAAACAAATAACTGAACTAGTGATGAATAAATAAATAAACAATTCACCAACCTTTGTCGATTAAAGGCGATTAACCAGTCGGTTATATTGACAGATAAACGATGCATTTAACGTCATTTATAACCGATTGGTTGACAAATGACGTTTGCTTCATTGATTATCTGTCAACTATGACCGACTGGTTAATCGCCTTTAATCGATGAATCATAACACAACACAGAACCTCACTTTCTTACAGCTGGTTTTAGACCCGACGTACGTCCATCGAAAACAGACACTTTTAATTAAAATCATTTGTATTTTCAATTCAGAGGTCTAAAAAAACAATTAGAGCATGAATTATAGAGAAATATGTTCAAAGTTTGACGTATAATAGGTTCAAATACTAAGAAATGCCCAGAACCCCAAGATATTCCCGTCTGAAAATCACTCTTTTGAATCCCCCATAAGAAATACATTGCTGTCAAATTTGTTGAAATGTGTTTAGGAACCCATTTTAAATTTCGCGCCAGATTTTTCCTAACCTAACTAATATGGTGAATTGATTATTTGATACAAATACGCATCAATTAGGCAATCCAACGACCTGTCCAAATGGCGTCTGGTTGCCAAATAATAAACAAAAAACATATGTTTTTATTTTGACGGGATTAAGCCTAGTACTCATAACCGCGAAATTCGCTCTTTTTTGACGTTTGATTAACACATAAAACGTCAAATTGTCGAAGCAATGTCAAAAAACAGCGAATTTCGCTGTTATGAGTACTAGGCTTTATCAATACTGACATCGTTGACATGTAACAACCCGTATTCTAACCTCATAAAAATTTCAAAATGCCGGCTGGTTGGCAAAAGTCACGTGGTTTGGATTCCCTAATTATTTCTGTTTAATTTAATTTATTTGCGAGTTTTTTTTTTTGAAGATATTCTTCAAAGGTGGGAGTATGTACAATTATGTGAACTGTGTACAATATTTTAGTATTGTGTCCAATTTCTGTAGGCCCAGTTTCACAATCGGTGGTAACCAGCGCTGGTCAGTCAACTAGGGGTCAGGGGTTAACTGGGACGTCGCTCATTAACGTGTTTCACACTAAACAAACAATCGTTGGTTAAATGACTAATGGTTGAATTTTATTTCTCAAAGGTTGGTACTTGATTTTTTGACAAAATTTTAAAAACCACCTTGAAAAATAAAAAAAGGCCTCTTTAAACTTCACTATACCTTCACTTTTTGTGATTTGTCATTAATTTTTGTCAGTGGCAGTAAAATTTCACAGATACCTATTCAATTCAATATTGGGTTTTGTGTCGTGTTTCCTGTTCAAAGTTCAAATTTAAATCATGAAGTCAAGCGAGAAAAGGTCTGCGAATTTTTCAAAGGAAGAAGAGTATTTATTAGTGTCTCTCGTGCAAAAATATAAGTTCATTATAGAATGTAAAAAAGCGGCGCATCGACGTGGAAAAAACGAAGAAAATGCTTGGAGAAGGGTGGGAGCAGATTTTAATTCCAATTGTATCACTAACGGAAAAAGAAATGCAAAAGTTTTCATTCCATAAATTTACCTTTTCAAACTTGACACTTTTGAACTAAACGAGGCATTTCAGCTAACTCATAGTTAACTCATACGCATCCTTAGGTTAATTCAACTACTGGTTAACTAAAGGTGTCACGTTGAACCGTCAATTGTGAAATACTGTTTTCGTTTTAACTAGTAGTTACCTCATAACTCGTAGTTTACTACACTTTGTGAAACTGGGCCTAGATACAAATGATTTTGTTAGCATGTTATGTTTTTTTGCAAATAAAAAGATACCTTTGGTATAAAAAGGAATCCAAAAACATCCATGGTTTTATTTTACAAATTGATTAAAAAGTGGAGTAACAATTGAGAAGAAAGATAACCAGCCGATTTCCACCCACTGTCTTTCTCAAAGTCTTTCTCAACATGGATATCAGACGTACCCTGAGGAATTTTCTTGACAAGAGGATGAATTTGAAACTATGATAAACCCAAAGAGTTAAACAATCAACTGGTTTTTCTGCAAATTTGACATTTTCATGCTGCAAAAATTCACAGCACCATGTGGAAACATTTTTTTTCTACGACTATTAGAGAAATCGTCCATTCCTACTAAGTTTTTATTTGCGAAAACACAGGAGACAAAGGGCATGTTCATATTACTTGCACTGCAAACTGCAAGGTCCAGGGATACTAAAAAACCAAGAAAAAACCTCAAAAACTCTATAGAATGCAAGAAAACAACTAACATCGATAGTCTGTTTTAATTGCTAGAGCAAGCAGTGTAGCACAATTGTAATTTGCATCTGGTTGATACTGTTGTTGTTTCATTTGATAGCTGTAGAAAAAGTATAGTCTCTCACCAGAGGCAGTTCAGGAAATAGCATTTTGCACACGCTCGTAGAAAAAATACATATTACCTTGCATATTACAAAGGTAACCTAAGTATTTTTCACACAGAATGAAATCCAAAAGTTACTATGTGTTATCAAAAGCCTACTTATTATCAACAAAATGAACTGTCTAAAGATGTTAAGAATTGTTTTGGATTGCATAAAAAAATATTCTTTAGTCAATGCAACAACATTGATTGTTTGTTATGTATTGAGATGATAAAATTTGAATAAATAAAGTAGATAATTTATTATGAAAAACACACATAAATTAAATCAAAAATGTAAACCCAAACTGTGAGTAATCAATAATAAACTGAAATAGAAGATTATATGTATTCATATCATCATATCAATTATTTACTTATATTTATCATAAGGTAAGCACTAAGAACACCAAAAGACAACAATAATCACTGAATATTTTCTGAGTCACAATGTTAACAAGAATCTGAGGATAGTATTTCTTGGTATTTTTACTTGAAGACCAAATAGTTACTATATAAACATAAAAAAATATATCTACTCCTTACTAGTAATAATGGAACAGCAATATAATGACCCTTTACCTATAAGATTGTCCTGAGGCAGGTATAAAAATAGTACTTTAGGGTGCCTTTCAAGAGACAACATATTTATTTGAAGATTATTCTGAATTTAATCATCAAAAGGACATTAGCAGATTGAAATTAGAAAAATTCGGCTAAGTACTTGATGTTGATAGTGTTTTGGTGAAACACAAAATTACATTTATGTGGATTGTGGCATTAAAACAATGTAATATTTTGTAACAAAGAAAGTGCATTTTATGGAGAGAAAATAATTATTTGCCAAATAATGGTTGATTAGACCTTGAAGTGTTCAAAATACTTTAAACAAATAGGTGCATAGTTTATGACAATTAATTGGGTTTCGTGAATAATATTAGATAAAAATACGATTTTTGTATTATTGTTACTATTATTGTAAATTTTGCCATCAACTCAAAATAGTGAATAACAAAAAGGAAAATTCAGTACATACCTGACAGAGCCTCCCCTGTTTTTCCTCTTGTTGTTCATTTCACCGCTACCGTGTACGGTATCCCTGTTTCTCGTAGGCACCGGAATTTTGATAATTTTTCTCTCTCTTCGTCACAAAAACACACAAATCCCAGGAAAAAATCCCGAAGTGGAAAAAATATAAATAAATAAATTAAATACCCAAACTAGCGAAAATCAAAATGGCCTTGTTGCCAGCGTGACGTAACACGGCGATTTTCTTTTGATTAACGGCGTGACACGGCCGTCGCAAACGGTTTTTACGACGCGGAAAATGTCCGGTTTTTCGTTAAATAGAAAATTGTCGACTGAAAATACGTGAAAATTGCTTAAATTGTTCAACAAACCGTTTCCTACCCAGTGGTACTGGTGTAGAAATGTCTGTCAGATTCAGACTGTTTTTGACAGTCGAATTATTTTGACGCGAGGAACTTGCGCACATTGTACGGCGACGTTGCCATGTCTTGCATTTGTCCGCAATGATTGGATACTGGAAACAGATTTTGGAAAAGGCGGGAAGTAATTATTATTAATAGTATGTTGAAATACAAGTTGCAGAAGGCTACATATTCCGAGAATAGCCTTCTACACCGTGAGTTTAATACTATTTTCTCGATTTTGGATTTTTTTATCTTTTTTTTTTTTCAAATTTTTTGTGGGCGCTGTTAGTTGTTTTTTTTTTTTCAAATCAAAATACATCGGTTGGTAACACTTCATTCTTGGCAATAAGGCAAAGGAAAGGGCAAATGTGAAACTGCCATTGTGGTGGAATTTTTTACATGGAAAAGCTTGGCTGTTACGTTACCTCAAGGATAATACACACTATTACTTCAGGATAGCCTATCCTCATAAGGCCTTTGAAGTTCAAATCTCCTTTCCCCCACCAAGCCAAAGCATCAGTGATGACGTGAGCAGTGAGTGTTTGCACCAGAGGTAATGATTCCGTAGGCTTTTGTTTTTTGCATGCCTGCTTGGCTTTACTAGGTACCATCGTCACCAAAAGTAACTGGGACACCATCACATTAGCTCTTATCCTATTATATGAATTTTCTTGTCAAATATTTGTCAAACTATGCATTAAATGCATTGAAATGAATGACAGTAGAATTAGTCCAGGAGATTATTATGCATTATTTGTGTCCCAGTTACTTTTGGTGACGATAATACATTATTAATTAACATTTTAAAACAACTGTTTTTTAGATCTCGTGAGCATCTTCCTCTTCGCCTATTATGCTTATCGAAATTAAATAATATTTTTCATCATAAATTTAAATTCTAAACTACGACCACTGGCGCACACAGCTGACGATTTAATTAATGACGTCGACAATGGTGCTACACCATATGACCGCGATTACCAAAAACGAAGCCGAGACTCTCGGACAGACTCTAGAAGTCTAGAGGAACACCCAAGGGCTATGTTTCGATATCGACTGCCAGTACTGGGATTTACTGTGCCGATTTTACTGTCAATTGCCGTTCCGATTTCACTAGCGTACTCTTGTGGTCTTTCAGTCGACTGAAGCCGTGTTCGTTTTTGTCGTCTTTTTCGTCGATTTGCTCCGAAATTTTGACATGCACGTGATAAGTTGTATTCCTTTCACACCTAGGAGGAGCTCCGGAACAGCTCCGGGGCTTCACGCGCTTATTCCTTTCGAAAAGTGTTTGCTGCACCACGCATCTGTTCCCTGCAAATTGGGGGCGACTAAACACCGGAGCGAGTAGCTCGAGTGCTTCGAACTTTTGAAAGGAATACAGCTATATGTAAATAGAAACTGTTTGATCTAGTCACGTGCCTGTCAAAATTTCGGAGCAAATCGACGAAAATGATAATAAAAAAGAACACGGCCTGACTCCAGTGTACTGAAAATAAATATCGGAAAATCGTCCAGTAAATTCATTACTGACAGTTGATATCGGAACATAGCCAAGGGTGTTTGAGAGCTTGAGGAACACCTATCTACAGTAGTTCTATTCCTTTCACACATAGGACGAGCTCCGGAACAGCTCCGGGGCTTCACGCGCTTTTTCCTTTCGAAAAGTGTTTATTGCACCACGCATCTGTTCCCTGCAAATTGGGGGCGACTGAACACCGGAGCGAGTAGCTCGAGTGTTTCAAACTCTTGAAAGGAATACAACTACAGCCTCTATACAAGACAGTGGCGGCAATAGCGCCTAAGCTCCGCCCACCCGCCATGTTTTGTCAAACTCAGTCAATAGTGTATTTGTCTTTTCTTTTCTTTCTGTTCTAACTTTTTATCACAAAATAGTCAATAACAGGCACAAATAAAAAAACAAAATTATATTAACACAAAATTGCATAATTCTCCATAGGATCAAATGGTTTTACACAAATAACGTTAGCGCCTAAGCTCCGCCCACCCGCTATGTTTTGTCAAACTTATTCAATACTGTATTTGTTCTTTCTTTTCTTTCTGTTCTAATTTTTTCTCACAAAATAGTCAATAACAGGCACAAATAGTATAAACAAAAATATATTAGGATTGAAATACGGCCGCAGTTTACTGTGCCGCTTTAGTGCCGACCCAAAATTGACTGTGGCGGGCGCTATTTTGGCTCACAAAAGGAATTATTGAACGACACGTTGAAGTCGGCAGTGGTGAACTTTGGCAGTGGCAAGTCATGTTCTATTTTCATATTCCTAACCTAAAATTGCAAAATGTAAATACGTGTTTGGTGTTCTTTAAGTGATTCTTCTTGTAGTTTTTTGTTGAATTTGTTTTGTTAGTTCATCTATATTTTATAATGGAAGATATTGGAGGCCGTATTATTAGGGGATGGCAATGGGGATGATGACAATCTGGGATACGTCATTCTAGACCACATTTCAAGGGACGAGAATGATGAAAGGCGGGGCCCCGTGGTTATTCAAACGAAGTATTTCATAAATCTCCATAGAATCGAACGCTAAACACAAATAACTTTCGACAAAACATAGCCGATATTCTGCAGCCAATCAAAAATGAGCCCCTCTATTGTCGCCACTGTCTTGTATAGAGGCACTAGAGGCACTGTACACCTATACAAGAGCTTGGAGCTAGCCCTAAAACAATTCTAAAAGGTTAAGGCAAGGAGTGCTGCGTTGCCAATTTGACGTCAAAGTATATTATTTTGTTTGGGTTAGATTTTCCTAACATGTGTGGACAATGTTTATTGTTTAACGAGTGATGCAATCAGCAGTTTTTAAAATATGTAGGTAATGTTTTCAAGTTACAGAAAATTATTTTTGACGAGAATTATTTATTTTTCAATCGTCAGAAAGAAACTTTTTGCAGATGCTAGTTTGTTTGTGCAATGAAAGAGTGAGGCGTTTTCTCGCGTCCACTTTTTTCAAACTGGTTCAAAACTGTTTTCAAACAGTACATTCTCGCGATAAACCTATGACGTCACGTCAAATTTGGTTCAAACCGTTTCGAAATACAATCCAATCCACATTTTCAAACCATTTTCTCGCGCCGAGAAATTATGACGTCATGGTGACATTACTTAGACCAGTTTTGAAAAATGTTTTGAAACATTTGAGACGCGGGAAAACGCCTCTGGATCTTGTTGGAATTTTCGACATTTTTATACAACAATCGTAAACAGGATTGCTCTTCCTAATAAGGCGTAGGTTCACCAATTCTTGAGGAGGCAGGGTCTGCGAGTGACGTCGCCACAGATGCTAATAGTGATGACGTCACCCGCAGACCTCGATCGAAGGCTTGCGATTCAGACTGTGCTCGTTATTTGATTTTTCCTCGATTTTAAATGTTTTGAATATAGAAAAGGTGATTGCAACAACATTTTAACGTTTAGGAAATTCACTCCAAAAGTTGAGGTATGCAGCTGACTAGGCAGTCCTACTAGGGATTGAAAACAGGATAATCTCTGCCATTTTCTAGAGACCTGAAACCTGAATCTAAGATGATCCGTTTTTTTCCTACGAATGTGCGGAAAAAAAACTTTTGGCATGCACAGAGTAATCTTTCCGCACACCCTTGAGAAAAATTGTGTTCCTTAAGCCTAGTACTCATAACCGCGAAATTCGCTCTTTTTTGACATTGCTTCGACAATTTGACGTTTGATTCACGCATAGAACGTCAAATTGTCGAAGGAATGTTAAAAAAGAGCGAATTTCGCTGTTATGAGTACTAGGCTTAACACAGCGTTGTCTTTCAAAAACGATTCCGATAGCCGCTATTTGACAAATTTGACATTTGAGCTATCATTTATCGTTATCGTTACCGATAAGTGCCGGGAGCTTACGGACGGAAGACAAAACCATAGCGAAAACGGAAAGCATGCGTATTTCCTATGTTTTTGTTTGTTTTTGTTGTTAAATGTTTTTGGTTTTCGAAATAGATTCAATACTAAATTCCCTCAAAAGATCGAGAAATCGTTTCACGGATGAGGACAATATTATTTATTATTTCATGTGCAATCGAGTGATCCATCCCGAAAATCTCGCACTATTTTTTATAATTCTGGCCACATAATTTTTTAAGTACAAGCCCTGATGAAGCCCTAAACAATTGGGCGTAACGTTGGCAAAGACTTAACAGGCCTTTTATTTTTTGTCCTAACCGACGAATCACCCCCCTTCATTGGATACCGATAGGACACAAACTTCTTTTTATCATTTATTATTTTAATAGAAGAAGTATTGGCCAACAACCCATATGACGATACATCTATAATTATGCTTTTGTAGTAGCCAATTTTGTAAAGCACACAGGGAAAATTAATGAATTTTGGGTACTAGGAAATTAAAACAAAGTACAAAACGTATATAAATACAAACAATTAAAGAAAGGTTATGTTTGTCGAATTCGACTTAACGTTAACGTTAAGCGGATTGAACGAAAACTATTTTGACGATCTGTCAAATAGCGACTTTGTCTTCGTATTCGTTATGGTTAACCGTTCGAAATTGGCAATACAACGAAAACTCTCTAATAACACTTGCGAGAAAAGAGCCGCTTTCCAATACGGGAGTGTGACACTCGGAGCTACCCGCAGCGTTGAGCTCCCGAGCCGCTTTCCAGTATGGGAGTGTGACGCCCGGAGCTACTCGGGGCGTTGAGCTCCCGAGCTGTACGTACGCGTCAACCTATCAGCTGTCACATCCGTGGGTGGCTATTTATCTATTTATTTCTTGTTATATCTCAAGATTGAACATTTTAAAATATATAGTTTTGATTCCAGAGACATGAGTATGAAATGGACTGGGCGTACGGCAGGAACAGTGATGTAAACATGGTAGGCAACCCTAACTGCACATTAGGGGCAGCAATCCGCGCGCACTTGTTATACGTTAGTGTTAGATACGCGATTTGTTGTAATTTTTTGTTTTCTGATGAGTCGTCATCACTTT